CATTTGTTTATTTTTTATTCTGTTCTTTTTGCCAAAGGAATCATATTATTGAAAACACCTTTGAGGTCCAAATCTCCCTATATTTTCCTCAGTGTATTTTATGGATTCTGGTCTTATCTCAAGGTCTCTGATCCACTTTGAATGGACTTTCATGTAAAGTGTGAAGTGTGTCTCACTGTTGTGAAGCTTCATTTTATTTTCACATGTGCTTATCCAGTTTTCCCAGCACCCATTTGTTGAAGATGTTATCTTTACTCCATTTCATGTACCAGCTCCTTTGTCAAAGATTATTTGTCATGGATCTGGAGATTTATCTTTGGGTACTCAGTTCTAACCTATTAGCCAAAGGTTCTGTCCTAATTCCATTACCATGTTGTTTTACATAGAAAAAAAAGTGAGCTATAATCAAAAGTTTAGATAATCAAAAGAATCAGATCAATATATAGGCAAGATTTTTGTGCTAGCAGAAAGAGATTTTAAAACAACTATTATTAATATGGGCTGGAGAGATAGCACAGCGGAAGGGCATTTGCCTTGCATGCGGCCGACCTGACTGACCCAAGTTTGATTCCTCCGCCCCTCTCAGAGAGCCTGTCAAGCTACCGAGAGTATCTCGCCCATATGGCAAAGCCTGGCAAGCTACTCGTGACTTATTCGATATGCCAAACACAGTAACAACAAGTCTCACAATGGAGACATTACTGGGCCTGCTCGAGCAAATTGATGAACAACAGGAGGACAGTGCTACAGTGCTATGATTAATATGTTAAAGAAGGCAGAGGACAAAGTGGGAAAAATACAAAACAAGGTGAATTATTTGAATTGATGTTAAGAATAAAATACACATTCTAGAGTATAAAAATACAAAATTTATAATGAAATATCAGGTAAGGTTTTAAAGATCTTTGACATAAATTAACAGATACAGCAAAGCATGAACTCATAAATAAAACTATAGAAAATGATTAATTATATTAAAAATTACCATTATTTTGATTTTGGCCCATACATGCCTGGCAATGCTTATGAAATATTCCTAACTTTGTGCTCAGGGATCACTCCTGGGGATACTCAAGGGACCATATGCAGTGTCAGGTATTGAATTGGGGTTAACCCTTGCAAGTAAGCATGTTAGCTTTTATACTGTCTCTCTGTCTCCCAGGTTTTTTTTTTTTAATTTTAGAAACTGTCACTGTCACTGTCCTCCCATTGTTCATCGATTTGCTCGAGTGGGCCCAGTAACGTCTCCATTGGAGACTTTGTTGTTACTGTGTTTGGCATATCAAATACTCGGTAGCTTGCCGGGCTTTCCAAGAGGGGCAGAGGAATCGAACTCGGGTCGGCCATGTTGGCTGCGTGCAAGGCAAACGCCCTACCGCTGTGCTATCGCTCCAGCCCAACTTTAGAAACTGAATGGGGCATAAAAGAGAACTTGACATGCGTGTGTGTGTGTGTGTGTGTGTGTTCATGTGTGCATGTGTGTGGGTGGGTGCATGCGTGCGTGCGTGTGTATGTGTGTATAACTTAGGGTTCCAGAAGGTGGAGAGACAGTAAAACTGGTATGGATGCAATAATTAAAGAAATAATGCTTGAGAATTTTCCGTTTCTGAGATATAAGTTCATTTTCCCCCAAGATCCTTTTTCTCTAGCTTCTAATCTGCAGAACAGTCCCAGACGTTTGTTTATGCCTCATCTTCATTGTTTCACTCTCTCTCAGCTTTCATGGGTGTGAAGCATAGAGCTTCTCACACCTTTGATCTGACCTTCTCACTGTTTACATTAGGCATATCTGACACTCCTTGGCTACTTGGTGAAATCTTTTGTAAGTCTTCAGTGGGATTAATCAAAATCAACTCATTTCATATCATGTGAATTTCTTTCAGAATGTGAATTTTCTCTTAATGCTTCCATTCTCTCTTTCATACTTTCATTTCTCTACCATCCTCTCTAACTTAAGAATTTGCTTTTGTTGTCTTAAATCATCCTAGTGTAGATCTTAAGAAATTACAAATAGCCATATAGTTTAGAAACATCTTTAGTTTACATAGTACATGCTGAAACACACACAAAAAAGTATATAATTAGTATATATATTGAAATGTCATTTTTATACCATTTTGTTATAAAAATGTTACTAAAGTAAGACTTTAGAAAAGATTCAACCTCACAAAGTAATCAGAAACATATATAATAATATATATAATATTTACTTGTTTGGGGGTACCACCAACAGTGCTCAGGGTTTATTCTTGGCTCTGCATTGAGGAATGACTCCTGGTGAGCTTAATGAACTACTCTTTGGAATGGCCGGATCAAACCCTGGTTAGCAGTGTACAAGACAAGTCCTCTATCCACTGTACTATCTCTCCGGCCCAAGTATTTCTTATCTAATTGGAAAAAATTATAATGACTCAGTGATGGTGATTATGCAGTTATGCGATATCTCAGAAATATCTCTGGATGTTATTAATCACATATTAGGATATATCACAGGCAAAAGCAGCTTATAGTTAATATTTGGGAATCTGATTTCTGTGCTTCTCTTCATATGTACACATAGTCATATACCAAAATCTTATATGCCTCATCCTAGTATATTCATTAATTTTAAAGTATTATCCAAAACATATAAAAAGGATATACACATAAAAATTTATGGCATACATATTAAAATTTTTATTGTGGTATTTATTATTTAAAGACTGATATTAAGGGGTCAGGAAGATAATATAGGGCTAAGTATTTACTTGCCTTGCATGTGACCAATCCTAGTTGTAATCCCCAGTACCATGTATGGTCCTTCCACACATCTTCAGGGATCACTCATGAGCACAGAACCAGAAATAATGCCTGAACATTGCTGCAATATGACCCCAAAACTAAATAAATACATCCTGATACTTTTGTAGAAGACTATTGTTCAGTGAGGCATACAAGAGCAAAATATTATAACCGAGATTATAATCATGACCTTTTCATGATTTCATACACTATTTAAGTAAATTTATAGTACTCAATTGCCTACTCTTTAAAATAGTAAACAAGAAAAGAAAAAAAATGAAAACAAGAACAAGTCTCTAACAACAGGAGAATTTACAAATTAATTGTTGTACACTTCTAAAATGGAATGCTCTGAAATAAAGGAATAACCCTACAGCCACATACTTTACATGTTAAAATCTCATTCATACTATCATTGAACTTTTTGCTCCTAAAAAAAATAAGTTTCAAAAGGAAATATTCTCTTAGAAAGTTTCCAAATATATTGCAATGCATAATATATTGTTTGTTTATACTTGTTTTAATATATATGTTTTTAGTTGAGATAGCATATTGAACACCATTAATGGTAGAGGAAGGTTAAGGAATCACAGATTACTTTTTTAATATGTAGTGGTACTTATATTTTCCAGGTAATTCTATATATCTTCTTGTGTACCTGAAACGTTTCATAATTCAAAGGAAGAAGAATCCACCAACTAATTTGAAAACTAGGACTTTAAAAACATATTTAGACACATATACGTATGTACATGTATCCATATGTAAAGAGAGAGAGAGAGACAGAAAGTGGATATGTTCATATAAAGTATAACTTAGACCTGGAATTGAAATGTAATTCATCAAATGTAGAGTGTTTGAATCTTTTAAAGAAGTAATAAAACATAATAAAATATTAATTTTAAAATAAGTATTATAAAAGTTTGTGTTCTTTAACATCAGTGTTCATTTTCTAAAATAAAAAATAAAATTTATCCTTCTATAACATAATATGAGATTAACACCCAAGGATAGTAGAGACAAGGGCCGGAAGGTTGCTGCTCCTTGATTGGAAGCCTGTCTCATAAGCTGGGGGAGAAGGTAGCTGGGATAGAGAAGGGATCACTAACTAAGTCAGTGATGGTTGGAGGAATCATTTGGGATGGGAGATGCGTGCTGAAAGTAGATAAAGGACTGAATATGATGGCATCTCAGTTCTGTATTGCAAACTGTAATGCCCAACAGTAGAGAGAGAATAAGAAGGAAATTGTCATAGAGGCAGGGAGTAGGGTGAGGTGAGGTTGCAGGAGGGATACTGAGGACATTAGTGGTGGAAAATGTACGCTGATGGAGAGATGGGTGTTCGATCATTGTATGACTGAAACTCAGTCATGAAAGCTTTGTAACTATAAAACATAAATAAATTTATCCTTATATTTTTCCAGGAAACTTGTATTATACCATATTTCCCCTTCTTTTGGTGGGAGGAGTTGGGCTGCACCCAGCAGTACTCGGGCTATTCCTGGCTATATGCTCAGGAGTGACTCCAGTTGTCCTTGAGGGGATGGTATGTGGTGTCTGGAATTTGAACCAGGGTCAGAAGAATACAAGGCAAGCATTTTAATACGTCTGCTTTTGCTCCAGCCTCCACTTTATTCATTTTATATGTGCTAAACGATAAGGCAGAAGAGACTATGTTCCTAGTTAAGTTGTAGATTGTTAACATTTTCTTTTCAGTATTATGATAGGGCGCTGGAGAACTAGTACAGTGAGTAGGGAGTTTGCCTAGGTTCAATGCTGAGCATCTCATCTGTTCCCCCTAGCACTGCTAGGATTAATTCCTGAGCACAAAAACAGGAGTAACCCCTGAGCATTCCCCAGTGTGACCTGCCAAAACAAACAAAAGAATTCTGGTAGTTTGGGAAGGAAATCTTGTAATTTATTCCCTTTTAAAAAAATATTAAGTTCAGTTAATTTTTAATACTGTTCATGGTTGACTTCGGGAAAAAAATGCTTATTAATTAAAATAGCTGAAGTTGCTGACTCTTAGCTTAAAGCTGTAAACTGTCATGATGGAGCGGATATTGAAGATGATTGCTGTAAAGTCCGAGGTTATTTTCCTTTGCTTATTTCATGAAAGAACCTTAAGGAAATTACTAATTTAAAAATAAACCATTTAATTTTTTGTTGGAATTTCATTTGCATCGACTAATGTAAGAATATATACTCTTGTATTTCAGGGCAAGGTGGCCCAGACCGCATGCATGTCAGCTTGCAAGCACTTATCCACATCCTTGATGCAGCTTTTGCTGGAGGCTGAAGTACGGCAGCTCACTTTGGGAGCATTGCAGCAGTTCAACCTGGATGTCAGAGAATGTGAACGTAAGACAGTGCTTGTTTGTTTCACCTTCGTGTGCACAATCTATGCAGCTCTTTCTGATTGCATCAAAGAATACACAGATGACACAGTTCATTTATAGGATGTCTAAAAGTAGAATCTTTAGCAATTTGAACCCTCAAAGGTATCTAAGTCCATATCTGGAACAGAGACATCCCTGGTAACAAGGAAGTCTGTGATCTAGAAAGTGACACAAAGCAGACATGCATTTAATAGTCACTAGAGAAAACCTGACAAGGCTAAAGATTTTTTTTTTAAGGCTGTTGCCAGATTCTCCTTTTTGTTATGTTTTTAACTATTTTTACATCTTTTCTGCAAACTTTTCTTAAGTCTGAAGAACAAATGGTATGTGCATGTGTCAATCAGAAATGCTTTCTATTACAGGAAACAAAGCTTTAAACTTTTTTGGTTTTGGAGTCACATCTAGCTGTTCTCGGGGCTTTTTCCTAGCTCCATACTCAGGAAACACTCCTGGCTAGGCTTGGGGGACCATCTGGGATGCCAGGGAATGGACCCTAGTCCACCATGTATAAGGCAAATGCCCTAACCACTGTACTTTTGCTCCAGCTCCAGCTTTTCACATTTAACCTAAAGATAGTATTAATAAATAGGTTTTTATTTTTCTCATTAATAACTAATAAGCTATTAATTTAGGAGCTCAGTGACATTCATCAGAGACTTTTGATCCCTCCACTCTTCCATACTTAGAATATGGCCTTCTCATAGACATATGAATTCTCATATATATAACTAAAGAGATCCACATTAAAGTCACGGAAATAATGGCAACCCTCAACTATTTCTTTTACATATTAGCATTACATCCCTTTTACTTGTAGCACTGTCCTCCTGTTCTTCGTCGATTTGCTTGAGTGGGCACCAGTAACGTCTCCATTGTGAGACTTTTTGTTACTGTTTTTTGGCATATCAAATATGCCACGGGGAGCTTGCCAGGCTCTGCCATGTGGGCCGGATACTCTCGGTAGCTTGCCAGGATCTCCGAGAGGGATGGAGGAATCGAACCCAGTTTGGCCAGGTGCAAGGCAAACGCCCTACCCCCTGTGCTATTGCTTACTTATTTCTTTTACTTGATCACTTGATATCCTGTTACTCATCAATTTGCTTGAGCAGGCGCTGGTAATGTCTCCATTCATCCCTGTTGTGTGCTAGCGTAGCGCAATGGCATCTGCTCATTCTAGGAACACAAAGAGCCTCAAACCGATTGTTAAGGGTCTTGACGAAGAAGTCTAACCATCTCATAGATGGGGAGGCACGTGATCTTTTGACGACCCGTGGAATCCAGTCGGTAATGGCTCTAGTCCGGCAATCATCTTCAAATCTCATTACGTGTCCAGCCCATCTGATTTGCGATGGCTTGGCAAACGAGACAGTGTCCCTGATTCTTGAGCATTGACGGAGGTCAGAACTCCGGATTCTTTCTCTCATTTGAGTGAAGCGTGATACTCCAAGCATAGCTCTTTTGATTCCTCTTTGAGAGACCCGAACAGCGTTCTCATCTGTTTTCGTAGGGCCTAGGTCTCTGAGGCATATGTTAATGCAGGAAGAACAGTGGAATAGAATAGATGTGCTCGGAGCTGGAGTTTATTTGTCCTCTTAATTATTTCTTCGACGCTCTTAAAGGCATTCCAAGCTGCTCTCTTCCTCCTGTGCAACTCAGGTGCCAGGTCATTCATCATGTTGACTTCTCGACCTAGGTACACATAACTGTTGCATTCGGAAATGGTCATTCCATTGAGAGCGAATGGAACGTCAGGAACAAGACTGTTTCTCATGAACATTGTCTTTGTGAGATTCAGCTGTAATCCAACCTTTCCACACTCATGATTGAAGTCGGTCAGTATTTGTGCCACTTGGTTGATGTTTGGTGTTATTATAACGATGTAATCAGCAAAACGGAGGTGGTGTAGTTGCCGACCATCTATCTTCACTCCCATTCCTTCCCATTCCAGTCATCGCATGACGTTCTCAAGGGTGGCACTGAAGAGTTTCAGTGAAATAGTATCACCCTGCGGAACCCCTCTCTTGACATCGATGATCACTTCTTTGTAGAGTGGTAAGGTCCTGGTAGTGAATCTGTAATACAGCTCACAGAGGATCCTGATGTATTGAGTTTGAACGCCCTGATTGGCTAGGGCTTCGATGACTGCTTCCCTCTCAACAGAATCAAAGGCCTTCTTTAAATCAATGAACGTTAGACAGAACGGCATCTTGAACTCCCGAGAAACCTCAATGAGCTTGGTTACCGTGTGGATATGGTTGATGGTGCTGTAACCTTTTCGGAATCCGGCTTGCTTGCATGGTTGTCCTTTATCTAGTGTTCTGCCAATCCTATTCATGATGACTTGAGTGAACAGCTTGTAGATGACAAGACAATAGGCAGATTGGGCGATAGTTGCCAATATCGTGGATGTCTCCCTTCTTGTGTAGTAGTATAGTACTGCTGGTTTTCCACTGGAACCGAACCATGCATTCAGACAGGTAGTGTGTGAAGAGCCGAGCCAGTGTATTGATGAGTATTGACGGTAGGTTCTTCAAGTGTTTAGGTCTGACCTTGTCTGGGCCAGGTGCTCTTTGTTTCTTTACCAATGAGATGACGTGTCAGATTTCGGAAGGGAGAACGTTGGGAACGACATATTCATCCTGCGGAATTTGGTATGTGGGCAAGTGGACGTGGCTATTAAGGAGATCTCAGTAGAAGTCATGAATAATCTTCTCCATTGCCCTTCTGGAAGATGTGATACATTGAATTCCAGGAGCTTGGTGTTATAATCTCTGGATCCTGGCCATTGATGGAGTTACACGGCAGTTGGTGGGTGTAACTGTCTAGCTACTGGAAGGCCCAGTCCTGAACTGAGCAGGCTTGGAGATCTCAGCCCCGGGTCCTGCACACTGGATTCCTCTGCTGGTTCCTTCATGCGTGAGCCTTAACCAAGTGTGTAGAGAGTAGTCTCAGCATAGCTTTGGCTGGTTCCCAGAGGTCTTCAGCTGTCGAGCCCTGGTGAGGACAGTCAGGCATGGGGGTAGGAGACTCTGCTTTGTTTTCTTCTGGGAGCTTGGTGTTATAGTTTTATCTTTTACTTAGCAGTATTAATAATGTTTATTATTATTACAGAAGCCTTCTAAGCAGTGCTCAGGGTTGGGCTCAATGGCTCATTGCTAGGACCCTTGAATGAGGTGCTTCTTGAGTCTTGCCATGTCAGGGACCAAGAGAGCTACCCCAGTGGTGTATGGGGGTCATATGGTGCTACAGACTAAACAGGGATCTGGCACATGCAAAGCAAGCACTTCTAAGCCCTGTGCTATCTCCCTAGGCTGCCTATTCCTTTTATTTGGAAAATAAAATCTTTTCAGGACAAAGGCTTGCAAATAACCTTTTATTTCTTACTGGTCAGATACATTTGTATGGTTATCTAGATCTAAGGAAGGTTGGGAGATTGTGTATCAGGTAAAGTGAAAGAAAACTATGTAATTGCCATAACTGAATCATCATGAATCATCCACTCAGAGCTGAACTGAAAAATAGGCTTTGCTTGTGAGGGGGAAGAAGAATGGTGTTGTGATGTTCATCATCCTGTCAGCAAGAAAGTGAGCAAAATTAATATGACTCCTGCCATCTTTTTTTCTGATTCTGTAAAAATCAAAAATAGGGAAAATTTTATGTGCTAGCATTCTTGCCCTATCTTATTTTTATTTGGAGGGGGGCACAGCCAACAGTGCTCAGGGCTTATCTCGGGCTCTGTACTCAGTGATTACTCAAGGTAGGCTTGAGGGGACCATTGAGGGTGCCAGGGATTGAACTGGGTTGGAAAGGCAGGTGCCCAACCCGCTGTATTATCTCTCCAGCCCCCTTATTTGCTCTTGATTGACTTTCGATAGTTGGAAAATAAGATTTTATTGACTGTGCTATTTTTTTTCTTTTGGATTTTTGACCTCACCTGATGTTATTCAGAAATTACAGGCTGAAGCGATAGCACAGCAGTAGGGCGTCTGCCTTGCATGCAGCCAACATGGCCAACCCGAGTTCGATTCCTCCGCCCCTCTCGGAGAGCCTGGCAAGCTATCGAGAGTATCTCGCCCGCACGGCAGAGCCTGGCAAGCTACCCGTGATGTATTCGATATGCCAAACACAGTAACAACAAAGTCTCCAATGGAGACGTTACTGGGCCTGCTCGAGCAAATCGATGAACAACGGGAGGACAGTGACAGTGACAGTGACTCTGATGGGGCTAAGGGGGCCTATTGAGTACCAGGGATTAAACTCGGGCTGGCTGTGTGCAAGGCAAGTCCCTTGTCTGCTAGAGTATCACTCCTGTCCCCCTGGCTATGCCATTTTTAATGTAAAAAATATTATTAATAGAGGCTTCCAGTTCCAGCCATCACTTACAAACAGGTATCAAAGCTACCTTTGCTCTGTAAACAACTAAAAACTAGATAAATTAACTGTATGAAGCAATTTTTTTATGTATTGGACAGCAGTGGGCTCTAATCCTTCAGAGATGAGATTTGTAAGTTTGACATTCAGTATCACTTTTTCTCTTGGGATACTTTCCAAATAGCATAGGAAAGTAGACCCTAAATAAAACCAAGTTTTCACACAGGGAAAAATAAAAGGGAGGGAGAGAGATTGGCCTATTGGGCAGGTCAGGCAGGAAGCTTGTTTAGTGATATACCAAAGAAAGGCATTGTTGAATGAAGTAGTTCTAGAGTTCTACACTGGACTGCCTTGCCTAGTTTAAGGTGAAATGTTGCGAGATTTAGAGAATGACCACTGAGAATTGTTGGACAGCAATGCTAGAGGTCAGAATACCAGAAGACAAAAGGGTCAGGGTGGGAAAGGAACATTTTATGCAGAAGGTGTGGCCTTATTAGTGCTATTTAGACTCTCGAGTAAGAAATACTTTAACCGAGTCTAATAATATTACTTCTCAAGATAAAGATTATCTACTAACGAAACAACTACCTG